CCCCATCTTATTTTTTAAAAGCTTGTTATTTGGGTGAAGAAGGCTGAGTTTATTATTTTTTCTAATAATTGTTATAATTAAGGTGTTGTCAGAGGGATTACCATTTCACAATATATTTTTTTGTTTGTCCACTTATTTTTGCCCTGAACTTTATGCTGTCAGTTACAGGATGAATTGTGCAACCAAGAAAACATTTTTAAATTGTTAAACTGCTTTCTTATCACTTAGTAAAACATTGCTCCTACCTGTAATCTAGCTACTGTGGAGGCTGAGAACAAAGGTGTGGTTCAAAACCAGCCTAGGCAGGAAAGTCTGTGAGACTTTCTCCAATTAACTACCAAAAAGCTAGAAGTAGAGGTGTGGCTTAAGTGGTGGAGTGTCAGCCTTGAGTAAAAAAGCAATGAGAGCAAGAAGGCCTGGGTTCAAGCCTCAAAACCAGCACAAAAACAAAAGCAAGTAAAAAAACAAAAACTTGAGGCTTGAACTTAGGGTTTGGGCATTGTCCTTGAGCTTCTTTCCCTCTAGGCTAGCATTCTTCCACTTGAGCCGCAGCTCCACTTGTGCCTTTTTTTGGTGGTTAATCAGAGATAGGTCTCATGGTAGCCAGCCCAGGCTGTGTTCCTTAGATGTCAGCCTCCTGAATAGCTAGGCTTACAGACATCAGTGCCCAGCAATTTTAAGTACTCTAGGACCACCAGGATTAAGGAGAAGCCTCAACTAATAACTCACTCAAACAGGGCGACCAAATGGAGAGGTTTCAAAACTCTACTAAGTGAGTTGTCCAGCCCCATGTGGCCCAAACTGTCCTAGATCCAGCCACTGTGGGACTCTGAGCTGTGAAGTACCTGAAGCTGGAGCAACTTTTCCCATTCCTTCTTGAATCTTTGTCTTACATAGTTGTGAGAATAATGAAATAATTGCTTTTTAGTTATTAAGTTTGGGGGTGATACGTAAGGCAGCGAAGATAACTGGAACAAGGTCTGATCTGACAGGATAGCACCTGAATGTTTTGCATGGGGATTCAAACAATGCATTATACACTTCCATGTTTTTATGGAGATAATTATTTATGTGCCACGCAATTCAGTGACATTTATTCGTTTTGATGGTCCTGGGGCTGAACTCAGGGTACTATTCCTGAGCTTCTATTTCTCAGTGCTAGCATTCTATTACTTGAGCTGCAACACCACTTCTGGCTTTTTTGTTGCTAAATTGGAGATAAGCGTCTCTTTCTGGGGTGGCTTTGAACCTTGATCTTCAGATCTCAGCCTCCTGAATAGCTAGGATTGCAGGAGTAAGCCATCAATGCCTGGTGCTTTAAGGGTGTTTTTTATTATATTCGTAATAAGACTATCACCACTATCTAATTTCAAAATATTTCCGTCATTTCCACAACAGAAATCCTGTACCTGCCCTAGGTACTCATTTCCTATTCCTGACTTTTCCTAGCACCTGGTATCCATTAACCTACTTTCAGTCTCTATTATTACTCACATTTAATGTTATTTAATTTCTTGCTTTGAGGATTGAACTCAAGAGTTTGTGCATGTTAGGCAAGTGCTCTACCACTCAGCTACATCCCTGGCCCTTTAACATTTAACTTTTGAACATGGTTGTCTGAGTTTCTTTCCTTAGTACACATGAATAAATGAGGATTCTAAGTGCCTCTCAGGTGTGGTGGCATGTACCTTTAGTCCCAGCTGCTTGAGAGACTGAGGGAAGAGGAGCATTGAAGTTTAAGGACAGCGTGGGCAACATAGTGAAGGCATGTGTTTTAAAAAAAGTAAGTAAATAAATCAATAAACGAGAGGCAGAATGCTTTAAACTGGTTTAATGATAGCTAATGAGAACTGATAGCTGAAAATATAATAGTATGTAGGAAGTGGAGTAAATAAAATATGTAATGTTTCATTATAAAAAATAATAATATCACTAATGATGTAATACTAGCTACTCAGGAGGCTGAGATCTGAGGATTGTTGTTCAGAGTCAGCCTAGGCAGGAAAGTCCATGAGATTCTTATCTCTAATTAACCACCAGAAACCTGGAAGTGGTGCTGTGGCTCAAGTGGTAGAGTGCTTGCCTTGAACTGAAGAGCTAAGGACAGCACCCAGGCCCAGAGTTCAAGCCCCGTGACTGACAAAAAAATAAAATAAAAATAAAAAAATTAAAAAGATATATATAACTAATGAATGAATTTGTCTTACTCAGAAAAATTTATATTTAAAAGTATAGCATTTCATTTTTTTTACAGAATAATGATATAACTGATGAGTAAATGTGTTCTGCTCAGAAAAAGGGGTGTGTGTGTGTTTGTGTGTGTGTGTGTGTGTGTGTGTGTGTGTGTGTGTGTGTAAAGAACCTAGAGAATTACTCATTTTCTATTAGAAAATACATGAGTGAAGATTTGAAAATAAAGGCCAAATACAAGTTGAGCTTTTTTTTTTTTTGTTGGTCATGTGGCTTGAACTCTGGGCTTGGGCACTGTCCTTGCACTCTTCAGCTCAAGGTGAGCACTCTACCACTTGAGCCACAGCACCACTTCCGGTTTTCTACTGGTGTATTAGGGATAAGATCTCCAATAAGATCTCCGGACTTTCCTGCCCGGGCTGGCTTTGAACCTCGATGCTCAGATCTCAGCCTCCCCAGTAGCTAGGATTACAGGTGTGAGCCACTGGTACCTGGCTAATTTTGTTTTAAATAAAAAAGATAGATAGACTTGTGTGGCATCTTGTGGCGACCTGGAGGAGGTAATAATAACTTCATGTTTCCTTACTATATTGTTGTTGCCAGTACTGGGAATTGAACTCTGGGCACTGTCCCTGAGCTTTTTTTGCTCAAGGTTAGCACTTGACCACTTGAGCCACAGTGCCACTTCCAGCTTTTTCTGTGTATGTGGTACTGAGGAATGTAACATGTTTAATTTTTACCTTCAAATAACTGTACAAAAAGGTTTCAAAAGCCAGGTGCTGGTGGCTCATGCCTGTAATCCTAGCTACTCAGGAGGTTGAGCTGTGAGGATCAAGGTTCAAAGCCAGCCTGGGTAGGAATGTCCATGAAACTCATCTCTAATTAACTACAAGAAAACTGGAAGTGGCTTTGTGGCTCAAAGTGGTAGGGCACTAGCCTTGAGCAAAAGAGCTGAGGGACAGTGGGACAGTGATCAGGCCCAGAGTTCCAGCCCCATGACTGATGACCAAAAAAAAAGGTTTCAATTTAACATGTCCATTTATATGTACAACGCTTTTTTTTTTTTTTGCCAGTCCTGGGGCTTGAACACAGGGCCTGGGCACTGTCAATAAACTTCTTTTGCTCAAGGATAGCTCTCTACCACTTGAGCACAGCACCACTTTTAGCTTTTTCTGTTTATGTGGTACTGAGGAATCAAACCCCAGGGCTTCATACATGCTAGGCAAGCACTCTACCACTGAGTCACCTTCCCAGCCCCTACAATGCATCTTGATCAGTGTCACCCCTTCCGTCATGCTTCCTAAAGTTCAGATGGTTTAAAATAATATATTAATAATAATTTTGTGATAGATCATAGCTTTTAAATGATAGAGGCTTGAGCTGGGTACCACTAGCTCACACTTACAATCCTATTTAAGAGACTGAGAACTGAGGATTGCAGTTTGAAGCCACCTTGGGCAGGAAAGTCAGCAAAGACCCTTATCTCCAATTAAACACCAAAAAGCTGGATGTGGATCTGTGACCAAGGGTACAGTGCTAGCCTTGCACACAAAAAGCTCAGGTATAGTGCCCAGGTCCTGACTTCAAACACACGCAAAAGCATTAAGGGGCTTGAATTACCCTGTCATAGCCACTGGTAGATGTATACTGTGTTTTTTGTTTGTTTTGTTTTGTTCTGTTTTGTTAGGATCTGGCTATATATCCCAGGCTTGTCTTGAACTTACGATGTTGAAGCTGCAGCTTGAAAGTTTTTAGTTTTTACTGTAACAATTTAGTAAACAATTTGTGCTGCATAATGAATTAACCTACATTGAGAGGCTTAAAGTAACACATGGAATCTTATACATTCCAGTATCAGGCCAAAGTTCAGAATCTGGTCATGTACCTCAGGTCCGGGTGTTCTGTAGTCCTGTCACATACCATTGTGTACTAGCATTGAATAAGCCTTACATCACCTTGATATTCTGAAAGGAAAATGCACAAGGACGTCATTGGTCTGCAGTAGTTCTAAGATCTGAGGGTTCATTGGTTACATCTCAAGCTGGGAATAATTCTTGGTTCTGCCATTAGAGTTGCCTTCCTTTATTCCCCTCCCTCCTATCGCCATCTCCCACCTGAGTGTCAAAGTGGATGAACCTACAAGTTTCTGCATACATACTTACCTCTTATTTTTAAACTAGATTTTATATTTTAAGATTTTTTTTTAGAGTCACAGAGAAATTCTACCAGCATCCCCCCAGAATGGTACATTTGTTAATGTGCTACATGTCATTATCACCTAGAGTTCCTAGTGTACACGCTACTTCACTCTTGGTGATGCACATTAGATTTGGGCAGATATGTAACGATAGGTGTCTAACCATTATAGTATGTAGGTAGTTTGACTTTCCTAACCCTCTCCTTCCAGCTCCCTTAGCAACCACTGATTGTCTACTGTCTTTTGAGTTTTGCCTTTTCTAGAATTTCTTATATTTGGATTCATGTAGAATATAGCCTTTCACACTAGCTTCTTTCATCTAATAGAATACATTTACAGGCTGGGAAAGTGGCTCAGTGGGAGAGTGCTTGCCTTGCATGCATGAGGCCCTAGGTTCGATTCCTCAGGACCACATAAGCAGAAAAATAATGGAGCTGTGGCTCAAGTGGTAGAGTGCTAGCCTTGAGCTGAAGAGCTGAGTGGCAGCGCCCACGCCCAGAGTTCAGGCCCCACCACTGACCAAAAAAAGAGTTGTTCCATAGCAGAATACATTTACATTTCTTCAGTGTCTTTTTGTGACTCAGGTAATTTTTCTTTTCTTTTCTTTTTTTTTGAATGTTCCTTTTGCAAGTCAGAATTTGCAATAAAATGGTGACAGCTTTGCCAATCAACAAGAATCATGCTCTTCCATGGCTAGGAAGGGAGACTGCCACGGCTGACAGGTCCTATAGACTTAGATACTTTTTCATATTATTATTATTATTTTTTAACATAAAGGAACTAAGTAATAGCCTGCCTGGTAAAAAAGTCACATGTAGGCTGGGCGCTGGTGGCTCACGCTATAATTTTAGCTACTCAGGAGGCTGAGATCTAAGGATTGCGGTTCAAATCCAGCCCAGGTAGGAGAGTCTGTAGGACTCCTATCTCCCATTAATTACTTGGAAACTGAAAGTGGTGCTGTGGCTCAAGTGGTAGAGTGTTAACCTTGAGCTGAAGAGCTCAGGGACAGCACCCAGGTCCAGAGTTCAAGCCCTATGACTGACCAAATAGATAAAAAAGTCACATGCATATTTTAGACATCTTTTTATCTCACGTATTGTCATATAGTTACTAGGACAGACTTATTAGAAGTTTGTACTCTATATTGTATAAATTAATGATTTTATATACTTAGCTGCTTTTGAAATAGTATAGAGCAAGAATTTTAGGTTTGATCAAATTATTGATATATATTTTTGCATGACAATTTTTGTCCTTTAATTTGCTTTTTTAACAGTATAAAACACTTGATAAAACTATTAGCTTACAGAAAGTGAGTCCATGTAATCGGAACCAAGGGAGAATGTGACACTGAAGTGCTTCAGAGAGGGTGTGTTGCTGTTGGATGAAATTTCAGGTGGGAAATACCTACATTGTTTGGTATCAGGTAGTCAGTTTAGTGCACTTGAACGTTTTATTTTATGTGAGGAGACAGAGAAGCTAGCAAAGGTGACATGAGTCTTAAAAGTACTTGTTTTTAATTAAATGTTTTTAAGTGTGCAACATTAGAGGAAATGTGAGTTTTTTTTTAAAATGGAATTTTTTCTGACTTTAAAAATGAAAGCTCTTTTATTTTTTTTTGTGGTGCTGAAGATTGAACCCAGATCCTGGGTTCAACACCTGCTGGGCAGGTGTTTTGCTATTGGTCTGTATCGTCAGTCCCTGCCAATCCCTAATAATGGACAGTCCAGTAGTGATAATGAAAAAGGATTGCCAAAATCTGTTGCCAAAAAGTTGCCAAATCTGTCTAAAAGTCTGGTTTATCTTGATCAACACTGCTATGTATCATTTTATTTTTTCCCTTAGTTTGACAGTTTATGTCTATTTAACTCTCCTATACTTTCGATAGTCACTGAGAATCAGTTTATTTTGCTTAGTTTAATATTTGTTGAAGCTATTTGAATAGTGACTGAACTATCACTTTTTTTTTTTTTTTTGGTTGGTTGTGGGGCTTGAACTTAGGGCTGGGGCAATGTCCCTGAGCCTGTTTGTGTTCAAGGCTAGTGCTCTACGACTTGAGCCATAGCGTTACTTCCAGGGTTTTAGTGGTTAATTGGAGGTAAGAATCGCATAGGTTTTTTTCCTGCCTAGGCTGACTTAGAACTTTGATTCTCAGATCTCAGCCTCCTGAGTAACTAGGATTACAGGCATGAGCCACTGACGCCAGTTATCACTCTATTTTTAAAGAAATTGTTGTACCAATCCTTTATTTAAACGCTTGGCTTCTTAAGGTTATTGAAAACGCTCATTGTATACACATTATTTCAAATATCAATGAGATGGTGCTCCTTAGTTTCATTATTATAGTATTGAGTCGTATGAAGGTGCTCACAGGGGAATCTGTAAATAACTTATGCTGTAGATTTTTAGTTTTTTGTTTTTTTTTCTTCAGGAGTCATGGTATGAAAGTACATGATGCTAGCACGATAATCCACTTCTCCATCTTGGTCTGATCACATTCATGTGTGTCTTCCTTCATCTCTCATTGACTAATAGAATATATTGATTTGCTTTAAGTTTTCAAATGATAATCCGCTAAATGAATTTCCATTTTGACTGCCTTTCAATAAGTTTCTACTTATGTCATTTATTTATTTATTTAGTTGTGGTACTGAGGATTGAAGCCAATATCTCATACTTGCTATAAGCAGGTGCTTTGTCATCGAGCCACACCGGTAGTTGCATATATCTGTTTTTTTTTTTTTTTTGTTTTTTGGGTCCGGTCATGGGGCCTGAACTCTGGGCCTGGGCACTGCCCCTCAGCTCTTCAGCTCAAGGCTAGCGCTCTACCACTTGAGCCACAGCGCCACTTCTGGCTTTTTTCTTTTTGCTTATATGGTGCTGAGGAATCGAACCCAGGGCCTCAGGCATGCAAGGTAAGCGCTCTACCACTGAGCCACCTTCCCAGCCCCACATTGGTCTTTTTTTAAAGTAAGTTTTTTATTGTGAAAATACTGTACAGAGTGAACATTGCTCTTTGAAGGTAACTGAAATATGTAAGATGGGTATACATCAAAAATTTTCCAAGAATCTCTGCAAAAAACAAGTAGGCTGTATATTTAGTGAAGATTGAAAGTTAGTAGTTCGCAAAAACGGAATCCAATTTTGATGGAATTAGTGCTTTAATGTAGGTATTTTAAGATCAGAAATTAACCAGTCTTTATATAAATAAATTTCATTATAAAGTAAATAACTTGGAAGCACCAAACAAAAATAAACGTATAACCAAAAGGCAAATGAACTTGAAACTACTTCCTAGGTTAAGAAATAGAATTTTGCTAAGTATCTTATAATCCAATTTCAACTCTTGCCTCCAACTATGATGTCTTAGCTTTTGTAGTAATTCCTTCCCTATCTTTATAGTACACCACCCAAGAACATATCCTTAGTGTATAATTTAATATTATTTAATATTTTAATGTGTTTTAAGTCTCCTATAAGTTTATCCATTGAGCAACCTGAACCTTTTGGCCTTTAGTTTTCCAGTCGTGATTTTGATGATTGCATTTCCTTGATGTAGTTAAACTGTTCTCTGTATTTCTTGCATTTGGATAGCACAAAGTAGAGGCTGTCAGACTCAGCCTTTCATACCTGTGGTTAGCCTCTAGGTGGTGCTGTGTTCTTTCATCAGGAGGCAATTATGAAGTACTATCTCTAGTGTAACCTGCTGTGGATGCTTCCTTTCTAGGCTCATTACTTCTCTTGGATCTGAAAAATGGTCCTATATATATATATATATTTATATATATATATATATATGCACACACATGTAAGTATATACATATAAATGTATATATGTGTGTATGTGTTTGTATGGGGGGGAGGAAGTTACATGTTTGTGTGTAGCATTAACTAAGATATTTCCATGAAGAGATGTTTCTCTCCTGTATTTGGTTACCTAGTAGATCAGTTACTATTGGACACTTACATGAGTGTCAGGATAAATGCTCAGGTCCTTCCTTTTATTTACTAATTTTCAAAATAATGGATATTTTCCTTCTTAAAATCCTTAATCCTGTAGTAGAGGCTAGTTGTTCTTTAAATTTTGAAACACTACAAATGAATGTATTTTGATTCAATTGATTACAATGAGCACTTTAAAAATATAATTTTATTGTTATTATTAAGGTATTTACAGAGGGGTTACCATTTCATAAGTCGGTAATTAGTACATTTCTTTTTGGATAATGTCACCCTTTCACTTTCTTTGAATCTTAAATTGATTTATCTTTGGTCCACAGGGTTCTATTAAGGTTGGTTCCTGAATCTTTTTGGTACAACCCTACTTGTCTTGATTATATTCCTATTATTTTGTATGATAAGATGTTACAGTTTCATCTTTTCAATTTTAGCTTTAGACCTTGAATTAGCTATTTATTTCTGCAAGAACTCCTGACTTTCTTTAGTCAGAAGTGGAATTTTAAACCATAATCCAGGTACTAGGCCTGCTCATTACTACCCTGTTCGTCATTATCATGCATATGCCTTTTCAGGTGCTAGAACTACACATATACACAGATATCACATATGTATGCTTTGCAGTGTGGCTTTTGTGTGTATATATGTAATATGCATATATTTTATGTACACATATATGAGGATAAAATACCTTATTAGGTCATAGTGATACTTTCATTAAGTTTGATGTCAATTATGAGAGTTTTAGAAATGCCTTTATTCAGGTTGAGGAATTTCCTTCTATTCCTAGCTTATGTGTTTTTAGCATGAAAGGGTGTTAGATTTTTTTTTTTTTTGTCGGTCATGGAACTTGAACTCTGGGCCTGGGTGTTGTCCTTCAGCTCTTCAGCTCAAGACATGCGTTCTGCCACTTGAGCCATAGCGCCACTTCTGGTTTTCTGGTGGTTAATTGGAAATAAGAGTCTCATGGACTTTTCCTACCTGTTCTGGCTTTGAATTGCGGTCCTCAGATCTCAGCCTCCTGAGTAGTGAGGATTACAGGCGTGAGCCAACAACGCCCTGCAGGGTGTTAGATTTTAACAAATGTTTTTTTTTGTGTTTATTGACATAATTACTTTTTTCTTTTTAGACCGCTCATATAGTATACCCTATTTATTAATTTTTGGATGTTAAATTAGTATTTCTGCATAAATTCCTTTAGCTCATGCTGGTCCTGGAGCTTGAACTCAGAGTCTGGGCACGATCTTTGAATCTGTCTGTGCTCAAGGCTAGTTACTACTTGATCCACAGCCCCACTTTTGCCGTTTTCTGTGTATGTGGTACTGAGGAATTGAACCCAGGGCTTCATGCATGCTAGGCAAGCACTCCATCACTAAGCCACATTCCCAGCTTGTAAAGTTATTGTTTTTTTTGTATGTTGATGGATTTGGTTTGCCAAATTTTTTTTTTGAGAATTTTTGTTTTTATTTATAGGAAATACTGATCTGTGGTTTTCTTCTTTGTGATATCTTTATATAAGAGTAATATTGGGGGCTTGAAAGGTGGCTCAGTGGTAGAGTGCTTGCCATGCATGCTTGAGGCCCTGGGTTCCATTCCTCAGCACCGCATAAGCAGAAAAAGCCAGAAATGGCTCTGTGGCTCAAGTGGTAGAGCACTAGCCTTGAGCTGATCACTGAGGGACAGCTCCCAGGCCCAGAGTACAGGCCCCACGACCGACCAAAAAAAAAAAAAAAGTAATAGTGATCTCAGAATGTGGTGGGAGTGTTCTCTTCAGTGTTTTGG